CTGAGTTGTGACTTGCTGGCATTTCCCAGACTGCTTTTCAGATGCAGTGTCCGATGAATTAGTTATGTAGCTGCCACAAGTTTATTAATTTTCAAGTTTTTTGACAATGGATAACTGAATTAATTGTATTTGGGTGAACTTTTATTTGCATGGTTGTAACTTGTACGTCGTATTAAATATTAATTGTACTTTAGTTATTTGGATGACGTGTTGGTGTTGGTTTTGTTTGAACATATTATAGACTATGGTAATAAATTAAAATTTGTTCAAACCGACCAACCCAACCCAACCCGACCGACACTTGATTGGGTTGGGTTGGGTTGGGTTTTAATATTTTCGTGGGTTGGGTTGGGTTGATTTTTTGTCAAACCGACCATGTTGGGTTGGGTTAGGGTTGAGGTAAAAACCGACCCAACCCAACCCACGCCCACCCCTAACTGTGACCTTCAAAATTTTTGAATTGTGATCGTAAAATAATTTGTGACATAAAATTTTTGATTTGTGATAAAAAAATAATAAATTAGTAATTAAATTATTAATTCGTGACCAAATTGTATAGATCCATGACCTAAATATATTAAATTAATTAAATAATTAAATCATAAATAAATTTAAATAAAAATCTGATTTTTGAATTTTGAAACTTATTTTCTTAATTTTGAAATATGCCATACTTAATTTCTCACTTATGAAATTTTCCCATCTATTAAATGAGTGTTAGAACCGATCAATTTGAGTAAGGTTCCAAACCCAAAATCAAACTAGCCTTATTATCTTTAAATTATTTTTTTTTTGTTAAAAATGTAGCCCAGGCCCAACTTTATTTTAGATACCATATCTAATTCAAGAGTTGGTCTTTGAAGAGTTGAGAAGTATCAGAAATAGATACAAAAAACTTTGTAAAAAATTTTTGGAGAAGCACCAAAAATATATAAAAAATAATTTACATTGCTGTTTAACACCTCAACTTAGTTTCCTATAAATCTGATAGAAGGGGACATATTCTACATTTTTACTGATGAAGTACCTTAGAATAATCAGATTGCCCGTCAAGTTTTGTTTCGAAATTGTCCACATTGACAATTTGTATTGATGCTGCCCTAATAGAATTATGTAGTTTTTGATGATCATTTGAATGTAGTGAGACCTTTCATAGCTCACAAAATAGGAGGGTGACAATACTAAAATGGTTAGAAGTATTACAAAGAAAACTGGGTTCATCTTCATATTTTGAATGGAGAGTTCTATAAGAGATAATATGAATATCTTTATCTTATAGAGAATATTAAGTAGTTATCGTAATCATTCAATAAGATTATGATAACTATTAATTTTAACATAACATTTAATTATTGCACTATGTTTTGATCTTTTGTATATACTTCCTTTACTTTTAGTTATCATAAGGATGACGAATGGCTAAAGAAACTTACTGTCCTATATATACTGTCTAGATTCTAATTTAGTTACATGACATGAGAATTTCACTGTCCTATTTGCAGCGTCCAAATTTTTAGTAAATTTTATTATCCAAATTTTAATGTGCTTTAATTTTATAACAGAGTATGTGGATGATCCAAACTTCATAGATTATAAGCAAGGGCGGAGCTAGGAATTATTGTTACGATGGGTTAAAAATTTAAAATATTTAATGTACGAGTAAAATTTATATATAATAAGAAAAATTTATAATATAAGTTACCTATTAAAGTTGCACTCGGCGATGTTTTACAGCATAAAATTCATCTATAATAGAATCTAGATCTAAATACATACTAAATTCTTGTTCAATATTTAGTGTTAAACAATCAGCAAGAAAACCATCATCCATTTTGTTACGAATTTCCGTCTTCACATGTTTTATTGCTGAAAATGCTCACTCCATAGTCGTCATTGAAACAGGTTGTGTCAGTACTAAACAAATCAATTTAGTCAAAATAACGTAACTCTCCGACCTTGTACTTGCAACCAAGTCCCGACATAAATCAGAAACTGTAGGCACTTGAAATCGAGGTTTTTTTTTTTTTATCCAAAGTTAGAGAACCAACCTTAAACCTTCTCAACTAGTTCAGCAACCTTTGGACCCTCTTCTTAGCAAATAACATAGTATTTCAAAGAAACAAAATGCTTCACCTACAATTAAACAGAAAAATCCCAAAAAACTAAGAATTACTAATGCTTCATAAGTAAATATTCATATTAACAATTGGCTTAAAAATGACAAGGATTCCCTACTGTCCAACAATCAAAGTACTTAAAATGTAAACACTCTTAAACACACCCTTACCAACTACAAACTAAATGCTATAGTATATACTATAAGATAAGAGAGAATTGATTCAATTGAAACAAGTAAAAAGGGAGCAACAAATGCTTAATTGAATCCTCGAACTGTCAAACAGAAACTAGAAACTAGAAAGCTACAATTACAAATTCCATTATTCCAAGATCTCGAACAATTTTGAATATCATTCGGTGCCAAGACTTGAACTCGGACTTATATGCTTTGATATTATGTTGATAAGTATCAGTGGTATGCAAAGAACTCAATTTTTTGAAGGGGCAATCATTCTATTTCAACTATAAGCACCATCATTCCATCAAGTGAATGAGTACTGTCGTTTGCCAACAAAAAAGTTTCAGTTCCCTGTTCCCACATAATTAAAAGACAAACAAGAAACATAATAACTACCCAAAATACGAAGTATAATTAATTATTCCAAGTTTCCAATGACCAACATCTCGAACAAATTTAAGTATTTCTTTTGCCTTTTGGCTTCTTCAATCTTATTATCAGTTTATCACTGAACATTTATCATATACAATACAACAAATCAAGTATAATTAATTGAAAAGTTATTGAAAGATTTTCAAATTCTAAGAATCTAATTAGTAAATTACTTACCCTAAAATCTAACCCAAGTTGGTAGCCAGGATTGAGGAGACGAATTGATGCGAGTCCGTCACTCACGGGCCGAAAGTGAGTGGGCAATCGGCAGTTCCGTTCGGCCGGCGGCTATGGGCAGGAGCAAAGCGAAGGTTTAGGGATTTTGATTTTTGATTTTTGGGAATTTTGTGAATTGGTTTTGCAAATGAACGGGAATGGAAAATGTTAGCGGATTAATGGATTACACGGGTAATTACTAATGGGTGTTATTTTGGGCCTAAAATTATATAGATTAGTGGGCTATAGATTAAATAATTTTTTTTTGAAGCGGGCTAGCCCACTGAATTTATTTGTTGTTGGGTTAATGTGGCTAAATGATTACAATTCAAAACAAAATTATTATTATTATTTTTTTGTTGTATCTGGGTCTGGAAGACAGTGGGCTACAGCCAAGTGCAGCCCACTGTTGAATCCGCCCATGATTTTGAGAACGATGAGCTTGATCAAGATGACATCAAATATGATATAAATGTTACTGGTGAGATTGGATGACCGTTAAGGTCAATCTCCAGATGAGCGAGAAGAGGTGAATGATAACGAGATAGATGGAAATTCCATCATTAAAGAAACGATTGTCCCAATGTTTATTCGATGAGGAGGATGGGTATCAATTTCTTGAATTTTCTTTTGATTCGGACATGAAGAATCCGTAGTTTGAGATTGGGCAAATTTTCAGTTCCGCATCAAAGTTTCGAGAGGCGATGAGAAGTTACAGTGTGTTAAATGGGTATAATATAAAGTTCACAGCAAATGAGGTGAGAGTACATGGAGTTAGCAAATTCGCATGTAAATGGAAAATCTGGGCTTCTATAGTGGATGCATCCGAGTGGTTGCAAGTAAAATCATATACTTCGGAGCATACTTGTAATTGGGACCAATTTAATAGATACTGCAATTACATATTTTTGATGCATTGTTATATTGATAACCCCGATTAGAAGATCGAACTTTTTTTTGGCAACAATAAAAAATGATCTACATAGATATTAACAGAATTGTGGCATGGAAGATGAGGAGGTATGCCAAAAAAGTTCTGGTTGGGACTTTGCAAGAGTAGTTTAGGCAGTTGCGATCTTATACATAAGAGGTAATATGGACAAATGTTGGCTTCATTTCCATTATAGATTTGTAGGAATAGGTTTAAGAGGGTATCTACATATGCTTTAATTGTTGTAAGATTATTATTATTATTTTTGGGAAGAAAGGTGGTACCTCCAACTTTATCTAAAAAAACCTCACTCGTGGCAGAGGAAAACTGCGGTTGTAGACTTGATAACCAAAATAGCAGAATAAGTAATCTAATGAAGCTTAGCGACTCCAACAAAACATCACTAAATAAGCCTCATAAGTTCAAACTAAACATCTAAACAAACCTATCTTAAAACCAATCAAAACATCTTACCCAACCTATCAACACCACAACAATTTATATACATAAAGGGACTCCAAGACGATCCAATCGAACAAGATCATGTGTAAATGACGATAACTCCTAGCCAGATAAAAACCTTTGTGCCAGCTCTTCATCACCTAGCTTTGCCAATAAATCAGCCTTCCAATTTCCTTTCCCAAAACGATGAGAAATATGTACCTTAAAGAACTTAAGCAACAAATCCCAAAATCCCATAGATACCAAACTGTACAATTAAGCTTGAGCAACCAATTAACAACCACCATAGAGACACTCAATATCCACCCGACGCACCCAATGTGCCGACAAATCCTCAACCCTTAAATGAAAGCACTAAATTCAGCGTCATTGTTAGTTGCAAATCCTAAATATGTGGCAAAACCTACAAGTACCTTTCCTATAGCGCCACGTATCTCTCCCAACTACTTGAATGTCTTGGATTTCCAAAGCTGCTCCCGCGACATTGTTAAATTAAATGTCGGAGTTAGCGTATTAGTTTTAAGACCAACGAATTTTGGAAATTTCAAGTACAAGCGAGTCATCATTTCTTATAGAAATCGTGAAGAAATCTCTTATCCAAAAGTTATTTGAAATAGTTTTGAATAGTCAATGCTAAGGAAAAAAATCTACGCTTTTATTAAATAGATACTAACTTCAAATAGAATTTTATTTGTCGTTATTTCAAAATTATGCCTTTTATTGGCAAGATATTCAATACATGATGACAAAGGAATCAATAAATACAATAGCCTTCAACATACAGTAGATCATTTTTATGATTTTTTTCATTACAAAAAGAAAATTTATTGTAGGAATAAAAGTAACAAATAAAAATAATTGAGTAATTCTATTCATAGTCGTTCACTGCGATAGTCGCCCTACACGACATGATAGTTTGTGATTTGATGCATTAATGTGGTAGTTTTTATTGTCTCTTGCATTAAATCACTAACTGCTGCATATATGTCATGTAGAACGACTGTAATAGTGAGTGACTATAAATAGCATTATTCAAAATAATTGGATTAGTTGGACCGCTGACATATCGTTTGGACGCTGTTGAGGAACATCTCACCTGCAATAGTAACTGATAGGCATTGTTAAATTAAATGTCGACGAGAGTAGTTTTGGAAATTCGACGTTGCTGTCTGAGCACGCATAGAATATCCAAGTCAATGAGCAGTTTTTCATTTTGCTTGGAAAGAATGTTTACCTTTTGAATGAATGAAGAAATATGCTGTAGCCAAAATTTGATGGAAAGGAAAAGATCTTCCACCGACTTCCCTTCCATGCCAGCCTTGCATCTCCTTCTCCACAAACACCACGTTACTAGGCATGGAATCATCCCCAAAAGGCATCCCAATTGAGTTGAATGTCAAGCACAAGCCTACCATAAAATGTATCCTCTCCTATCAGCTTTGCCGTTCCCTCCACTTGATATCCAAACGCAACTTGCAAAATCTCTTGTACTCAAAACGTGATCGAGATTCTCATCATGGCTAACTAAACAATAGTTACATCTAGACACAACTGGAATTTCTACCTCTTGGATCCTTGCATCAACACTAAGACTCCGATTCAGAGCTTTCCACATTGCCACTGCAACATGTGTAGTGAGAAATTGATGCTATACTCAGTTCACCAAAGGCACCTATAGTGCTCGGATTCTAAGCACATCCCAAGTGCTATATGATGAAAAATAACCTATTTCTGAGGCTTCCATATCAACACATATTGGCTAGGCTTACACCAAATACAATTCTGCATGACCTCTCATGCTAACTCAGCACCCACTATCACTTGAATCTTCTCTACATCCCATCTCAACTCCAAACAATGATAATTTATTTTCTACATATATTGTTCCACGTGATAAACTTGATGACACAAAGGACCATTCGGCAACTAGTGAGCATACCAAAATGATAGTTTTCATTGTTTAATTCTCCACTTGCTATTAGCAACTACTTCAGAAAAACACTCCACTACCGACTTCCAAAAACGAGAACACTTACGACCCCAAAAAGAAACATCCACTATACCACTTTTGGAATATTTTGCTCTAAAAAAACTCCCCCATAAAGAGTCATCCGTGAGCACCTTCCAAGCAAATTTCATATAAAGAGATCGTTGTACGTCTTCAAATTTTCAAATCCCAAAACCTTATTCCTTAAGTGGTTTACATATTTTTATCATTGCCTTCCACTTTTTCATGGCCTTCTCATTCACCTCACCCCCAAAAAGGAGGACAACATAGAGTTCAAAGATTTAAACACTGATAACAGCACATTGAGGACAGATAATAGGTGAGTTGCCATATTAGTTATCACATGCCTCGGTAAAATCAACCTCTTTGCGATTTTAACTCTAGTTTTTAATCAGCAATTTTACTACTAATTTTCTCCATCATGCTTTGTAAATGGCGAGACGTTAGCCTCCCTATCACTAGATTCACCATCAGAACTCCCAAATTGTTAATAGGAAACAAACCTTCACTGAAAGAATTCATCCGAAGAATACTAGTCTTTTGAGCAGCTGCGCACACCAACTCTTCTTTGCTAATATGTTGTCCTGACTATCTTTCATAGAGAGAGAGAAATCCCTATGAGTTCCTTCATAAACTGACTGCTCCCATTAGTAAATATTACTAAATCATCTGCATACAATAGGTCAGACACAAAGGAGCCTCTCATAGGTGTGTAAAAGCACCAATATTACCTTCCTCAAATTTCTTATTTGACAATCTAGTCAACACCTCTTCCATAATTATAAAAAGATGCGATAAGATGGGATCACCGTGCCGTAGACCTTGGGAGGACTTGAAAAAGCCTTGAGTCGTCTAATTCATCATAACATAGAACTAAGGTGTGGATATGCACTTCGAAATTGAAGAACAGAATTCAATAGGAAAGGAATGCAAAACATGAAGCAAAAACCTCCAATCTACTTTGTCATATGCCTTTGCCGTATCTACCCTAATAACCGCATTACCTCCACGTGTCTTGCAATTAAAAGCCTGAACCATCTTTTGAGTTAAGGTGAGGTTTTCAAATATGCTCCGTCCTAGTAAAAAGGCCCTTGTACAGGAAAAATGCACCTTGGCAGCAACCCAGTCATCCTATTCACCAAAATTTTTGCAAATATTTTATACAGCACGGAGCATAGGCTGATTGGTTGAAACTGATCAAAACCATCTGGATTTTCCACTTTAGGGATGAGCATAATGTAAGACGATGAGTGAAACCTTAGTAAGGCTTTCCCATAAAAAAACTCGTCGTCGCCTCCATCACATCATTCTTTATAATGTCCCAAGAGCTCATATAAAAAGCTGAACGAAACCTATCCGGACCAGACTATCCATTGGGTTAGAAAAATAAACTTCCTTATCTCTTCTTTCGACAGGGACAGACATGCTCTATAATATCAGCACCCAGAATTCTAGGTCTAATTATCAAAAATTGAAATTTTAGGGGCTCATTTGAGAGTTAATCCAACCTCTAGGACCCTGTAGCAAACTTACTATAAGTGCTAATTCCCACATGTTTTTTATTAAATTCTTGGTCAAACACTTACATTGAAAATTCTTGATTGACCAAACATAAGGTAATGTGTAGTCTGAATGCATAAATGGAGGAATGATGGAGAGATTCTTACTTATTTCACAAATTTCAAGGAACAATTTCCACCATATTGAATTTTTCCTTAAAGATGTATGTCTAATCTTGTCATATTTAAACCCCTCATTCACGTTCACATGCTACCACTCACTATTATATTTTTTAATCCAAATAATATACACATTCATAAGCGGAGGTGGAAATTGTAGAGGGATCAAGTCTCTATTACTCTTTCCTTTAAACTTCATTGTAAGTAAGTTGCTTATGTTGAATTATTATTATGTTATGAATTTCAAGAAAATTATTATGGGCCTCATATGTTATGATATGATTATAATTATGTTAAGGGGATCGAAGTTTAATAGCGCTACACATAAGAATTCATATCACCTATGTTCGGTAAAATTCTTATGTTTCCATTATGTTGAATATTATTATTATGCTCCTTTAAGTTATACATAATAATGATTCATAGCGTACTTATTGAGATTTTATAAATCCCACTCTATGATAATTGCCCCTTTTAGGCAATTGATGGTTCGAGACAGTCTATGTTGAGATGACTATGGGGCTAGGTTTAATAAATTGTTTTGTGTTTTAAGACACAGTTTTGAATTTCAAATTTAGTTGTTATGTTGAAATTATTTTCTTTCCTTCATTTTTTTTCGCATCTATATGATAAAACCAAAATTTAGCCCCCGTTTGAGCCCAATTATTTGTAGATTATAATGAGATGAATAATATTTTTTTTTTAAAAATGAGTAGTTGAAAAGTTTTTGATTTACGTGTAATATTATTTTATTGAAGATTGTGTTATTAAAAATAGGAGAGAGAAAAATTTAATTTGATGTAATGAGAAATAATGGGGCTCAAACGAGGGCTAATTACATATTGAAGAAAATAAAATTATTTCATGTTCTTATTTAGTTCTTATGAAAGAATTAAATTTTATTTAGTGACGCTCGAATAGTCAAGGATTCAGGTCGTCACAGTTGGTATCAGAGCCAGGTTTTCAAATCGATCTGTTGATTTTCTTTAGGTTTCATGTTGTGAAGACAGTGAAGTTTACGAGTGTGGTTAAAAGGTAAGAAATATACATATATATATATATATATATATATATATATATATATATATATAGTTGTAATTTATTTAGACTTGTTATGCATTAAAGTCAATAATAATATAAAATTTTGTATGTTATAAGTGTTTACTATTATGCTATTGATAGAAGACCTCAATCTTAAATTTTATATTAATGTAGAAATCATGAAATATATAGATGGTAGCTATGTGATTTTAAATGCATATTAAGTTTAATGGGAATGATTCAACTAGAGGTTAAGTTTGCGATAATATAGAATCACATATTTCATGAAGAAGGTATTAATTAATCCCCGTACGATAATTTATCCCTTTATTACTATCTTTGTAAAAATAAGGGAAAAACTGTTGATGGTTATTAATATGTTTTCTTAAAAAAAAAAAAAATTCAACTCTTGGTACAATAATTCATCCCTTTATCACTACCTTTGTAAAAACAAGGGAAAAACTGTGGATGATTATTGATACGTTCCCTTAAAAGTCTCAACTCTGGTACAATAATTGATTCCTTTACCACTATAAAAAAAATTGAAAAGTTCTTTTGGAAAGAAAAGTAATTACGTTCTTTTCTTTCTGATAGATGGTGAGTGGACAAAGTCAAACCAGTCGAATTGAGAAGCGCAATCATTTTACTTGGTTGCATAGGAATTACAAGAGACATCCGAACCACGGTTTGATACAACACTTAGATGCCATAGAAGAGATTTTCCAAGGGGCAAGGGCGAATGTATATCAATTTCATAGGGATGAGATCATATGTCACCTTGACCGAACCCTTACTCCTTACTGGAGGCAATTTATCAAGGGAATCGAACAGACCTTTGACTACCAAACCTCTCTCGATTTACTACTTCGATGCATGAGGGAAAGGTGGAGGGTGAATTGTGAAGACATTAGAGATACCAGTAAGGTGCTAGGCTATGAACCCAATTCGGGCAACATCAAAACAATACCCAAAGTTGACTACGAGAGAAATTATGTTGAAGAAGACCCGAGTGAAGAATACAATCCCGCGTTGTATTTCGCAATTGATTCGGATCCAAATCTTAAGGAAAAAGATAGGGAGGGTACTGGGAAGAACTATAGATGATACCTAGTTGACTTTACGTTTTTCAATTTTTGAATTTCAGCTGTTTAGACATTGAGTATGCTCAGTGGTTCGTTATTTATGTGAACTTATGAATATTTATGAATAAAAGCATGCCATTTCTTTATAATTCATATCCTTAATTTAACTTAACTCTAAATAATTACTATCATTTAATTAAGGCTATAGCACCTCGTAGCAGTAAGACTAACAATAGCAATGACCAAAATCAAAAGTCTGCACAACCTGTTCAGCCTCAACCTAATACGATTGACCAACAGTTTGCTCAACAGTTTCGCGCTATGATGCAAACTTTTGTGCAAGCTATGATGCCACCACCACCTCCTCAACAACCAACACCATCATCTTTTCTGCCACCCCAACCAGAACAGTAGCACGAAGTTGCCCTCGACACTAGGACCACTCCTGTTGTGGTTGAGCAGTTCACAAAACAACATCCCACTGTCTTTCATGGTAGTACGGATCCCTTGGAAGTGGAAGACTGGCTGGTGGGTATGGAGAGAATTTTTGAACTAATTGACTACCCAAGACATAGAAGGGTGATATGTGCAACCTTTATGCTACGTAAAGGCGCTAGGTGTTGGTAGGACACCACTGCCAGATCAAGGGCTTCTGGTCATGTTTGGATGGGGGATGAATTCAATGAGGCCTTTCTGAAAAAGTACTACCCCACGAGTATTCGAAATTGGAAGGAGGCTGAGTTTCTCACTTTGACTCAGAGTTGAATGACGTTAATCAAGTACGAACAGAAGTTTCAAGAGTTGGCTCATTATGCTTCTGAGTTTGTAGATACAGAGAACAAGAAGGCGAGACGTTTTGAGCAGGGTTTGAGAGATGATTTGAAATGGACTGTCATATTGCTTCAACTTGAAAACTATCATGATGTGTTGGCAATGGCACAATTGGCAGATTTCGAGAACCGCATTAGTGGGGAGGAAAAACAGCTTAATGGACAGTCAAAGAAGCGAAAGTGGGTGGATAACAAGGGCAAAGGGAAACAAAATTATGCCAAAAAGAGCAAAGGAAATTCAGCCCAAGATGGCAACAAGAGTTACCCATGCCGTGGAAAATGTCAGAAGCATCATCTGGGAGCTTGCCTTTTGGGAACGAATTCATATTTCTGATGTGGAGGACAAGGACATATGACTCAGTATTGCCCTAAGTATGGGAGCAACCAGTAGAGACCACAAGGGAATAACCAACACAGATAGGGCCGTGCACCAGGAGGACAGGCTAGGGTTTATACACTGGCAGGGCAAGAGGAGGATCAAAATCGAAATGTCTTAGCAGGTAAAGTTTTCATATCCGACTTACTAGCCTATGTATTAATAGATTCTGGTGCAACTCACTCCTTTATAGACCTTAAGTTTCTATGTAAACTGGACGTTATGGTTGAATATGCACAATTCCCTTTAGTAGTAACGATGCCCACTGGGGATATAGTGAATATTAGTCACATAGTTAAAACAGCAAGAGTATAAATTGATGGTAAATTATTGGAGACGAAATTGTATGTATTAGATATGGACGAGTTCGATGTGATTCTTATAATGGTCTGGCTATCCAAAAGTCAAGCGATAATTTATTGTTTTGAAAAAGAGATGATTTTTCAAAGACCAGTGGAAGAGAAGTTTCGATCATCTGTGGCTGGAGGTGGAACCTTATCCCTGCATCTTGTCTACATTGAAAGTCCAACATGTCATACCATTAGAAATCACTACGGGACTCCTAATGTCAGTAATAAGTAAGGAAGAGAACAATAGATTGACAGTTGACGAGGTTAGGGTGGTATGTGAATATCCAGAAGTCTTCCCCAAGGAGTTGCCGGGTATGCAGTCGGAACGAGAGGTAGAGTTCACAATTGACCTTACTCCCGGCTCAGCACCCATCTCTAAAGCCCTATATAGAATGACACCCAAAGAATTACAAGAATTGAAGGTACAATTGGAGGAACTATTGGACAGAGGTTTCATCCAGCCCAATGTATCTCCATGGGGAGAATTGGTGCTATTTGTTAAAAAGAAGGATGGATTGATGAGGATGTGTATCGATTACAGAGAATTGAATAGAATCACTATCGAGAATAAGTATCCTCTTCCCAAGATTGAGGATTTGTTTGATCAGCTTACAGCTGCAGTGGTATTTTCCAAAATCGGTTTAAGGTCTAGTTATCATCAATTGAGAATCAAAGCTAGTGATATCTCTAAGACCATTTTTAGAACTTGGTACGGACACTACGAGTTCTTAGTTATGCCATTTGGACTAACTAATGCTCCTGGAGTCTTTATGGATTTGACGAACCGTGTTTTCCATAAATATTTCGATTAGTTTGTTATCGTGTTCATTGATGATATCCCGATTTACTCAAGAAGTAATGAGGAACATGAAGAGCATTTAAGGATTGTGTTGGAGGTTTTGAAAAAGAAGAAGCTCTATGCCAAGTTCAGAAGGTGTGAGTTTTGGCTGGAACGGGTAGCATTCCTTGACACATTGTCACAGCTCGAGAGATATAGGTAGACCCTAGTAAAGTGGAAGCAATGTTAA